GATATGGAAAGACTCACCCTGTATATTTGAGACAGAAAAGTAATTAATTTAGAGTTATTAGCCCTTTTTATTTTTGCAGTATTATCAAAATGTTGACTTTGAGATTAGTAAATATTTAATATAATACATAACATATACAAAGGATTAAACATGTAAAATTAAAAAGAAAGAATAATTTTTATAATATAAAAGCTTCAATGAATATGTAGTTTTGTAATTACTGTAATCAATACTTGTGACGTATTAATATTTAAACACGATGTGACTGACTGAAATTTTCTATTAATTTGGGTTTCAAAAGCGCTAAAGTATTAACAAATATTAGTGCACGGGTTCATTTTCAAAAAGTTCAATTACCATTCGATCGATTAAAGTAATTGGTTTTCGCACTTACTCGTAAAATCGTGTGGAAAATAAATCTGTATATCACCTTAATATTTTCATTGTCTCCAAGAAACGCCATTCATCACGTATATGTGAAACTTTGTTATTTCATAGCTATTAAAAGAGTGATGTTGTCAGCAAGATTCTGACGTATGGGGGTATCTAACTATCTGCAAATAATTATTTCAAATATAATACGTGACTTATTCTTAGGCACAGATTTCGCTTTTGTCCGTATGCGAAATTACAAACAGCGAGAAAAAGATTGGTATTGATCGGTCGTCAGACACCCTTTCCGTATCGCGTGTCCCTCGGGTAGCTCGTCAACGATCTCGCTCCTCTCTCATCTTCAACGTTACCGAACAGTTTCCGTGACCATAAATCTACGTTATTCCCCAACTGCGTATTCGATATCTCACGAAAGCTTTTTTTACCGTTGAATAACGATAAACTTGTTCCCCTTTGGGCACCAAGTACAAACTGCGAATGACGTAGCTCGTAACTCACCGCAAACGAGCGAAGGAATACTTGAAGGAAACTATGCCGTTTTCATTTCTAAGACACGTAAATAAATAAAAGAGAGCGAGAGAAAGAGAGAGAAAGAAAAAATAAATACGCGTTTAGAATGGTTAGGTAAAATTATTGAAATTGCCATATGCGTTTCGTGCTCGCGTGAGGCACATTTATGGCTGATGATATTCCTGTGAAACATCACAGAATGGAATTGCGCGCTACGAAAGGGTGGCACAAACACACAAAAGTTACACAGCACCGTTCCACGTTTCGGCGTCACATATTCAATAACCAGGACATGGTAAAGGAAATTAAAAATTGTTTTTTTAGACGATCGTTTCTTGTACAATTGTGAAATTTGTCGAATTTAAAAGAGAAAGCATATCATCCGATACATAACTACTTACAGAATCCACATCTACATGCGATATATTCCTGATTTAAAATAGTTTCTCTGACAAACACAATGAAAGTCTTCTATAATACATCCATTATAAATTTTCTACAGACAGACTTTTATTAAAGTTTACGGCGTATTACAGTAAACTTAAGAATTACATATAATATATTTGATCATTATTGTATCGCACCTCAAATGAAGAATTTATATTTACCTTGACGAATTGTCGCAAATGAAGTTATCAAAGTGCCACTGCATGAATCATTAAGTTGAATTTATGGATTCTTCATCCATCTTTCAGGTTGCAAAAATTGTTCTTTTATCACTCGTGAAGGAAACGTAAGAAAACGTACGTATAAAAGAATCATGTCAAGGATTTCCGTCATATCTGTCTTAATTCTAGACACACATTATGGAACATCGAAACTAACTCGTCACAGAATTATGTATGCATAAGGTAATTCTACTTTTCTTATAAAGAGTTGTTTTCCTTTGCTCCGCTCAGTTTACAGCACGTGGTGTAGGTGCAACGTAGGCTTCGTTACATCAATAATTGAGTTGCTACGGAATATACATATATACACACGCGAAGCTTTATTTTCTAAGTGCGTGTAAACAAAGGAAACTTTTATATGAAAAAGTTATTATTGTATTGTTATACATACATGATAATACATCTAGGTATGATCGATATATGTATAAGAGTTTCATACAGAGAGCCTCATAATAAAGGAAAAAAACCTTTACAATTTGTGGTACGTAGTTTGAATAACTTGCATCAATAATACTGTAAGCAATTATGTATCACATAAATTTTGTATTCTCCAAATTTGCAAAATTGTACGAGATTTAAATTTTATAGGTATCGCTATAGAATTTATATAGTTAATCGATTTGAAAGCAATTAAAATTAAACGATATAATTAACTGATAAAAAATCTAAAAAGAATTCACATGTTGATGTTATTTATAAAAGAATATACGGTTTTTAATTTTATAAAATTTGTAACACTCGTGTAATGATTTTCCTTACAACCTCCTTAAACCTGATTTAAGAAATATATTTAATTTATTATCATACAATTATTGTACAATAATTGTATTATTGTACAATAATTTGTATATTTGTATGATTTACTACGATTTATGATGAGATAAAGACAAAGTATATTGTAGTATTAATAATATTACGTGGCAAATATACCCAGAAAACTGACATTAATCTCCCCTTTGTACGTGACGATATCCCGAAGGATAATATTATATCTCTAACTACAAATGGAAACACTAATGACGTCCGGTAGGCACGTAGTCAGAACTTAAATTTCTCCGTAATATTTAAAGACGTATAATAATAAAAACGTATTTTTTGTGTTTACATAATTATATTATATATTTTTTTTTAATGAAAGGACATAAAAGACTGATGAATTGCATATAACATAATTTTTGTAAAGCGATCGATCGCTTTCAAATGTAACCCCCCCTACATGCTAATTTCCTGACCTGACAGAGGTATATGGAATTCTATTGCGTAATGCCAAATTTATTCCTCCCTTTGTCCCACGCACCCCCATACGTTATTTAGTGCCGAGGGATGCCGGTAGAATATCACCTGGTACAGCAACCCCAGTATATTTTCTTTCATTGGACGGTAACGCTATAAAAGAACCCCGATATCAATATCTACGTTCTCTCCCTCCGACATACCGTTACTGATCGAATGAAGAAGAAGCTCAAGAGCAATATCATCGTGATAGCGCAGATCTTTTAAACCTACGTCTCTTGTCATTGGTGATGTACTTGCTCGACAGTACAATTCAATATTTCAATATTGGAAATGCATGATGGAATCAGTAAGTTAACGAAATGTTGCATATTTTTCTGAGAGGAAAGACAGTTTCTAGAAAACTATCGTAAATAATAGGTATAAGTGTTATAAGATATAGGTACATTGTCAAATTCTGTTATGGAATGAAATACAGAATACCAAAGCCACTGAATTAACTATGTTAATTCTATTTCTATACATGTTTTAGTTTATTTAAAATAGATATATCCTCACTGGAAAGATAAGGGTGTTTTCGAGTATTTAGAAAATAAGGTTTGCCAAAAGTAATTAACGAAAACCAGAATAGGATGCACTTGAAAATTTCAGAATAAACCCGTGAGAAAAGTTGCGTGCTTTAATGCAGATTCCTGTCCTAGATAAATGGTAGAAGGTGAATATTGATCAGACGTAGTAGAGAATGTCAGTATGGGGTCCGCCATCTGTGCGCATCAAGCTTAAGCTACGCGAATTATAAGATCATCTACGTATGAGCAATCAGAATAGAAAACCTGTAAAAACAATGAAAAAATACAATTGCCGTGTTTCGTCCGTCATTGCGCGCATCTCTATCTTGCAAAGTGTACTCACTGAACATGATGAAATTATTCATTCTAGAGGATATTTCGAATGCGAAAAATTGCGAAAGTTTGAAAGATTCAACAAGACTCGATTAGCCTCAAATACGATTATTTCTCTATCAGTGAAATGCAAAACGCGACAGATACATAGTTAATTATTGAAAAATATATGTTCTTTGTGATTAAAAGTGCTTAGTTGTAGAATAGGCTATAACCATAATTGTTACATATAACTGCGTTACAATACTTGCGTGTATATTACATTAATATTTATACTAAATTGAAAATATATCGTTACGTTAACATTTGTTTTCTTCAACTTTTTACGCTCCAATAGACTATTGCGTCTACGTAGCAATAAAGCTTCATTATTTATCGACGTACGCCGAAGAATACTCCGGGGAAGCATAAAGCGCTTTGCATATGGACGGGGATATTTCGTCTGTCATATAAATTTCTAATAAACAATCGCGCTTTCCTCGCTATAGCATCAACCGTAAACCGTGATCCGAGAACACATTGCTCGGGAATGTAGGGATTTATTATTGTAGCCAACTTCAAATTACGATGTCGTAACTTCTTTTACTTTTTCTTCGCCTCCGTGAGTTTAAGTTATGCAACAAGAACGTCACTGCAAAAGCGGATATCAATTTTCTTAAGAGCATTCCCTCGGTTCGTTGCATTTATTTATAAACATACAATTTTTCGCAACTTTTTATTCTAGTTTGATTACTAGGTTACTTTTCTGAAGGAAAATATGTTTTTCATTATTCTCATTACGACCGATTGAAACTAAATTAGGTATCCGTTTTATCTCGGATATAATTAATTTTTTTAATTCTTTCAAAAAAATTCGTACACGTATTATCCTACACATGCTACATATCGTTATTTATATTTACATCAGATCTCTTTGAAGGGGAGAAAAATTTTGGGCTCGTCATCAATCTTTTTTAAAGCACTATATTTATATTTATTAAGTGACAATAAAGATTGATGTTACAGTGCCGTCAGAAGCGCTAATTCTTCTTTGATATATCGAGCGTGGCGAACGGTTGATAAGGCGAATGAATAGGATACGCAGTGTTTTAAACTCTTCATTTTAGTGGGTTTATTACAGCTATAGAATATCAGATAAACGCAATCGTGAGTAATCGTAAACGCGATCGTAAAGTAGGGAATAAAGAATATGAATGAGTTGCTACATCGAAGGATGCATGTGACGTGCTGTCCAACTTTCGCTAGAAAACTGTACTCAAATCTCATGCAGATACAAAACGTTCCAAGTACTTACACAGAGAAGTGGTACAGGAAGCACTTCCAACCGGTAGGACGCTCCAGGAAGTTGTAAACTTGACCCTGGAAAGTGGCTTTCCCAGCACGTCGATGTTCCTTGACGCGGTAGCGACCTTCCCAGGTATTGCGATCACCACCAGTTCCCAGCAATAGCCTTGGATCGACACCTGAGTATTTATCAATTTTACATTTCTATCCAACTCGTGACGAAATTGCAAATAAATTGATATACGAGTCGTAATATAAGTATCATTTATCCCACATAGCACATAATATAATACATTTATATAATACGCCGCAATATTACATTAATATGACTGATATGTTACATAGAAATATTACACAGTAATATAACAGTAATATTGCTGCAATATATCAGATCCAAAGTAGTGCAAGATAATGTCAAATGACTTTTTAATTGCGTCTCATTACGTTTTATTACGTCATTAAGATGTCACGAAGACGTCATTTAATGTCAGTAATATTACGTGATACATCACAGTAATATTATTCTAATTATCACAGTAATTACTACGATTATCTCGGTAATATTTCATTGGGCGAACATTTTAATATTACTGTGACATATCAGTAATACTACAGTAATATTTCCAATGTATTTTATTGTAATATTACGTGCTATGTGGGATATTATAGTTGCCATGTTATTTTATTTAAATTTGTCTAAAAGAACAGTCATTGCATGCATTTGACAGCAACTAAAAAAAAATAGAAATGTTACGTGAACTGAATTATTGTTAAAAAATTGATATGATTTTTCTACAATTGTAAATATAATTTATAATTTTTTCCGAAAAGACGCAAATTTCGATTTTGCCACACGCATATTATTATTTTGTGAGAGTTCAATTAAACGTTTATACTGAATACATCTTTGAAATACAAGGCGTTAATGTATCGTTCCTCGCTTTTTATGCGTCTATTTTTGGTGCACTTTAGCTTCGCCTTTTCTTTCATCAATCCTTGGCAAACTTGACTGTAACTGAAAGCACCCTGCTGAAATACTTCCGGTCGCAGGATATGACGTCACGCACCCTATCGCGGACCGAGAGTGAAATCGATTCGATCGAGTCAATATTTAAGAAATATATCCCGCGTACCCAAAAAATTACAATTAACAATGTTATCGTGTACACTGCACAATCTAGCAAATATAAAAGGGCAAAAATAATTCACTTGATTGCACGGAAAAATGGCACCAAGTTTTCGGTATCTCTCCATTAATCTCAATTCAATATCTAATTATCATTTAATTGAAATCAAATAATATAAAACTCATGAATGCAGCAGATTGCATAAAAGGCATAATTTTCTTTATTGCAGTATAATTATATGGCTATATGGATAAAAATCATAACGCTACCCAAATGTTATATAATAATATTCAATATTACATATTAGTCAAGCTTGATTTCACAGGATTAATTCACAAATTGTATCAGTACTATCGATTTGAAATTTTGTGGTTAGCTATTGCATTTTTCATACGCGGTTTCGCGTTGTGGCCAATTTTCCATCCCTGAATTAGCAACTGGCGTATAATGCGCTATCAGTTGATCAGAATATTCATGCGAATAATGTGAATACGTTTAAAGAGAAAATTTGTGAATTAATGAACTTGGAATAATTAATAGATTTTATGCATTTCCACGATGTCCCTAATAGAAATATATTTGCATGTGCCATTCGCTTGCAAAAAATAAGCGTATCTTGTTTTTTATGCATTACCATGTTATCTATAACTGTATTTAATTTAATTCGTCAAATACAAAATTCAATAAATAATCGACAATTGCACATTGACAACATGTGACGTTCCAGTATTAGTAGCCAAAGTAACCATTCGAAAACGAACGTTTTAACGCCTATCGGTAGACAATAAAAATCATAAGAAATTTTTGTCACATTGAAACTAAAAGTTTCGCTACCTCGCAGGTATCGGCGATTTTTGAAGCAAATATAATATAGTAATGCGTTTTTGTTCTTACCGCCAACCAAAGTGTCATTGTTGTCAGACTGCAAGGTAGCACTGGTGTCAGATAGGGGCGACGGGGCCGGTCTTAAATCCGGTGGCGGTTCCAATCTCAGTAAATCACTTCCGCCATCTCCACCTCCTCCATTTCCTCTGCCAACCTGTACAATCGTCACATTCAGAGGTCCCCGGTTACCTATCGTAAAACAAAGAGAACGAGAGGATACCATGATGAGCCAGCTCGTTAATGACATAACGATAAATGATCGAGTACGGGGAAGGGGCGTTTTCTTTACATTAATTACATTTTCTATTAATTATGCGCTCTACAAATTCGCCGAGCTCGCTGGGCAACATTATTATTAGAAAGCAACTGAAACGTGAAAGTGAGGTAAAGACCAGCACTCGGCTAAGAGTGTCACTAAGTGGTAATTAACCCTCGTATCATTTTCCTCACCCTCGAATAAGCCGAGCTAAAATTGAATCTGTTTAATCGGACAAAATACTCTCACCCTTAACCGACCGCGATTCGTTTGTACGATAATTCGATGCATAATCAACGTTATGACATTTATTGATTTAGCGGTTTGCCCCATAACGCGTAAAGGGGTGAATCGTGCTTTAATCCCGAAGGAACGTTATTCGCGCAATTTGCGGACGTCATGCTTCGTTGCGGATGTAGAGAGAATATCAGCGTTAAGCTCAGCGAAAATTACGGCATACAGTTAATGCTCGTAACCAGCGTATATATCAACTAGAATTAATAATTAATTAATCAATTATACATATTATCGAACGCGATCATACACTATATTCAAGCACAACTCTATCGTTATATAACAGAGTATATTTTTCTCTTTAATCAAACGTGCAGTCTAGAACAATCCCTAGAAATTTCCATTGCAATGTATATATACTTGAGGTAGACTAGCTTTGTTAGAAAAGACGTCAGATTTCCGGTAAATAAAGCTGAGTTTTGTACCGGTATTTTTGACAAACATTTTAATTCATATTTCTTCAAGTTTGAGGTGCACTCGAATAGACTTAAAATTACTTCTTTTCTTTAATTTAATTATAACAGTACAACCTAAAACACCATAAGTACATGTACATATTACAAGATTTTTACTCTTTTTAATGGAATACCATATTTTTTATTGATACCGTGGAAACAAATTTGTTAAAAAATAGCTAAAGTGGCCGAAGATATCGTAGCATTAAATTTTTTATAATAAGTATATGTATAGTTCAAGTTTCCTTTGCTATAAAACAGAGTATTTTCGAAAATAAATTGGTAAAGCAGGAAATGTATAATAAATGTTTAAGGCACGAGGGTTCCAATACATTTTACCTTGCCCTTTAAGCGGCCTTGATAAAAGCTGAATTTGATACTTGAATTTTTTTTTAGGCGAACGTACCGGGGCTGGGTATCATAAACCGCTGCGGCCTTCACACATGTGTGGCCGCAGTAATAAAGAGAAACATTGAAATTTTATGGTTTCTGACTGGTACTCGTAAAGTCGGAATTTCCACGAATTTCCGTGAATTATATGTACGCGTGCTTTCTGCTATTGGTGGAATCCAGGTCGAATTTTCATGCAAGTTCAATAACAGGCAAGTTGAGTCATCCCGAGGCATTTTAATATGCCTATACATATACTACACGTCTATACACGCAGAAACTCGCGCGCAAACGCGTCCTATATAATCTGCCCATAATCTTCTACCGCGCGCAGTAAGGCTAAATCTTTGCTGGAATCCTCCCCTCACTTTTCATTAAGCCTATAGCATTTTATCGGTGGGCACAATGTGCCCATCGCAACAAGCGCAATTAAAAATTAAGCCCCGCCATCATGTTACAGCAAAGTACCTCTAAAAAAGAAAATCACTTCGTATGGAGGTAATACCTTCTATGGAATTAATGTGCATTTACGGTTCAGGATAATCCATTTGTTATTTTATACAAGATATTTCCTCCTAAAATTATGAAATTCGCGAAATGTTTCTTTCTTACGTAAGAAACAACTAAAGTATGTAGAAATTGAATAATTTAAACCGTTTATAGTGATAAGTAGATATCGTATAATAAATCAACTCGTGTACTCGTGTAAACTTACACGGTCGGTCTCGCACGCGTGTACTAGCTACGCTTACACTTGGCGCGAGACACTACCGTGTCTCGTGATAGATAAATATTTAGGAGCGGATAGGGTAATAGGTAGAAAGTTGATAATGTAATATAATAGAGTGGTGAGGGGTGGATGAATGAATGACATAAGATTTGATTGTAAACCAAGTCCCACTTTCTGGCTGTAAGCTAAAGTGAATCAAAGTTTGATTGATTGATAATTTAAACCGTTTATACGGTATATAATATAGTACGAATATTCTTCCACTCTTAAGGATTGTTTCAAGTACCCCACACATGGGTAATCCTTCAACTTATTTTGTACTTTGACATAAGGATAAATTGTCGAGAAAAGCATCGCGCCACAAAAGGGCGGCTCACCTATTCTGGAGGGTGGAAGTAACAACCCTTGTGCCTCCTCGAGCGGCATCGCGTGTCCGTGATCGCGGTAATGATGAGGGCGGTCTCTCATATCTTCTCCCGGCTGCAACAGTTGCGCGGCTTTTCACGATGTTCCTCGCCGGATAGTGGCAATCGTCGGTGACCGGGATTGGGACCGGGACCGGGAGCAGGAAGCTGGGCGAGTCCTGAGGGACTCCTGCTGATGACGGCGGACGGTGATTGAGCGTCATCGCCCCGCCGTCACAACTAAAACCATGCCCAGGTCACCAAGTTCGCACGATTCTCCAGCGTGCGTCAGGTAGGGCCTCCTTAATTGCCGTCTACTTTCGTCCTGTTAAAACAAATTGTTTCCTTCGTAAGACGGGGGGTAATGTCAAAACATACTCTCTAAAATTTGTGGAGTGAAATGTTTACTCCATTGGAGTTAATATTCACTCTGTTGGAGGAAATATTCACGCCAATGGGGTGAACATTTCACTCCATGGCAGGTATTTTCACTCCACAAATTTTAGAGAGTACCAAGAGGCATTTGACACATGATAAAATAATATCTCGAAAAATTATCGATCTGACAACTTTGGGGAAAAAATTTTTAGCGCAAATTTCCGATATAGTATTATATAGACACGAAACTAAATATAAAATTGAATATAAATTAAATATCATAGGACTCGCGCGAAACTAGTATGTGCAATATATTTACTCCTCCTGCCCGTCCAAAAATCGAGAAATCAATTTCGCTATATACGCGACACAATGAAACATCATAATTAGCTCTCTCATTCGATCATTACAATGAAACACGAGAACAAAGAAACCTCTTCTCTGCTTAAATTGTCTGGTTCGCCATTTATCTGGGTTTACATGTGCTCAAGTTTAGTGGTCGCTGTACTCCGGCTATTCATAACGGAATACGGTATTGTTTGCGGGTATTGTTGCCAGAGTAACGGACCAAAGTGAATATTAGCAACAATAAACTTATACAACTCTTCTTATTCTCCTTTAATGGAGGTTTAGAATAATTACATAACTCTATAAGCGTTGTATATCTACGAAACGCAACATCTATTTACAAAATATAGATTTAGGCAGTTAAGAAGTATATTTCTTCAACAAATGTGTCAATTTTCATCCAAAAAAAGAATGAAAAATACTCTCGCATGCCACGTTCATTCGCTCGATTGTGCACAGCATTTCCCAAAATTTTCCGACTCTGTTATAGAAGTCTGATATTTTATGCTCCCCGCTCGCTTACATATACGCAAGCATTAAAGTTCGCGCCACGATGTTTGCTTACGGCACACATATGTGCGTGTAATATTGTAGATCGATAGTCAACGTGTCTCGGTTAGTAGGTCTAGTTCGTAAGAATTATATAGTTGTCGTATAGACATGCGATTTGCGGCTCGATCGTGCCTCCTAACTGTGACAACGACATTATCGTGTTGCACGTGATGCTTTTCTCTTCTCTCTTGTTTTTTTTTCTTTTTTGTATAATTCTCTGTATTCTCCATGCTATCATCGCGAGTAGGTTGCTAATTGCTGTGAAAAATATGTATTAGTATACAACAAGGATACTGAAGAGGCAATCGTGGTAATGTTTCATAAAACGAGCGTTGTTCCTTTGTGCCCTAATCCTAATAACTCAAATTTTGTTTAATTAACTTCTGATTCACTATAAGCTGGATTTAATTACGCCGTCTACATAGAATAGAAATTCTGTAAAAATGACGACAAACAGAGTTGTTATATGTGAAAATTTCAATGTTAAATTAAGATGCAATAATATCAAAGTATTACAGCACTTTATAGCATATAATAGATATAAAAGGAAAGGAATTTTCTTTTATCTTCTTATCTTTTATCGTCTTTACAATAGCTCTTCATTGTTTGATTAATCGACAAATATAGTAAACCGATGCAGGAGATTCGTTGCTTACATAAATCACTTTCGACGGATGTAGGCTCATGCGAGCTCTCTTTGTCCGCTCGACGGTGGTTATTTATCAAAGTGCCTTTGGAAAATTTCTGAAAACGGCCACATCCGTAATCCCTAATCCCCGTTATATCCCTTATCCCTACCTATATTTATCACAAGAGAGAAGAAAAAAATTCTGCAAAAGATTAATAAGTCGTCGACCACTCACGTACATTAATTTACGTAGAAACGTACGCGAAAATTGCTGGGTCATTTTCTGTGATTGTTTCCCATGAATGCAGAATATTGCCGGACCACTGATCCCTCTGTTTTCTCACATTATTACAATAACAATGGCGAAACGCGCGGAGAGAAATTTCTCTGAAAATATATCCTAAAAATCATGTAAACGTTTATAAGAAAATTTTACCATACATTTTACTAGCAACATGTGTGGGGAAAATTTTAAAAACTCGCATAAAATTCTTCAAAATGCCATGTTACCCTACGATTACATGATTTTCAAGGGTAAACTTTAAAAGAAAATTCTCTCCGTATACTTTCTTACGTATTACCTTCGATTTGATGTAACATTACCAGCGTTACTAGCTTTTCAAAAATTTGTTTAACAAATGATTTCCTCGTTAAAAAGAAGAATGCAATGTAAACTCGTAAGGCGAAACTATCTTTGTATTCCATTTCTCAATATGTAAGTAGAAATGTTTAAAGCACTTTCAAAAAGCATGTATTACAAGGAATAGATAGTAGAGTGCCGAAAAAAACATCTTGTCGCAACTGTGTGAAAAGAAACTGACAGATCGATGCACGAGTCGACAACGTGTTTCTACTACTTTTCATGGGTAAAACATCTGCTTCTGACAGTCCGAGAGAGTTTAAATTTTTATGTCTGAATTGATTCGCTGTTACAAGCTGCGTAAAAGTTGTCGCCTATAGTTACTCGTTACTCAACAGCTTTGACAATTCGTTCTCAACGTTATCGCGAGCGGATAATTTCAACGGTATTTTAGTTAAAGAAAGATCGATTCCATTAACTTACGCGAAAAGGTTTCCTCTCACCAACTAGATATTCGGTACCGAAAAGATTCCTCAGACCGATTAAAGATGCAGCGGCAATATTATCCACTCTAGCGGGCAGATTGATAAAATTGAACATTAATCTTTCTAATTAATCGTCAAATTGAAGTGAAAATATGGGATAATGAAGTTTCCAATTTCACACGTATTTGCATATTTCAGGATATACATTAAGTCGTTTAATTTATTCGTTCGTTATCTATTGAATCAGTGATCAGTAAATGATTTCATCTTCGCTTAATACTCGAACTTGGCTGTGGAAATAGTGATAAAAGAAAATTCTCATAAAAATAACATTTGTTGCAAATGGGAGTATTTTTTTCTCTCGTAACCATAAGTCACCTAATTCTCTTGTGTATTTTATTTAAATTCAGGCCCAACTCTTGAAATATATCTGCAGGTCCTGAAGACTAGTTGAAAGTTGAAACTCAAAACTTACGGCGTCTCGTATTGTTCGGTTATCAAAATGTTGGCAAAATATTATTCGCGAGGATTGAGACGCAGTTGTCCGCCCGACACACCGAATTGAACTACTTTAGGCAACCGAAAGTTCCACTGACACTTGCCTCACTTTGGCTTCACTTGGCTTCGTAAGATACCTCTTGTGCGCGCTAAATTTGTCAAACGGTTATTTCAAGTACCCAACTATGTGTTCTTTCCACTTGAGCTCGTTAATCGACATCATTTATTATAATATTGAGGACATATTAATCATCACGTCACTTGGAGCGTCATTTCGCCTTTCTTCCTAATTTGACGAAGGTGGATAAGATGTTAAGAAACACAGCCTAAATCGACTTGTCAGGCACGATAATATTAAGGCTCGAGAGTGCTATACCGTCGGGCAAGCACGAAAGAACTTAACATTGACAAGTTGAAGCCTAACATCCAAAGAAAACGTCAGCTTCGAAATTTCTACGTTAAGAAATAAATCGTGTAAATAGATTCGTATAAAAAGTGAGCACTTTTGTTATTGAATAAAACTAATCGAACTTTTGTTATTCCTTCATTATTGCTCGTGCAAAATAATTATATTCCTGATGTACGCGTTAAATATTGTTTTAAACTTTATACCATCCTTAATTTATTGTTACCGTTCAAGCTGTCATATTTTTCTAAGAAAAAAACATTAGCATAAAAAATTGTTATTTATATCCAATATTTCCTTTTCTCCTAATGTAATTGTATGACGAGGAAAAATAAGGAATTATATATTACTGATTGTCATAGATGGATGCAGCAGAGCATAAGCCTTGCTTGCGCGTGCGTGCACACATACATAATAAACGAAACGACTTCCTTTTTTGTTCCATTGTCAGATTTTACGATAAGAAAGCCATTATTTTTCTATTAAGCACAGTAGAATGCGTGAAATAAAGTTCAAAAATGTTTCACGCGATAATCGAAATGGCTAAGATCGCGAGAGAGTCGCGGGATTGTATCGTAATCTCGTTTAGAAAACTATTTTCTTCTTTTTTTTATACCGAGTTTCGTAGCGAGCAGGTGTGGCGTGATAAGATGTCTCGAAATCGGGCATTAAAAATTGATATTTAAGAATCATCGTCGGACGCGCATGTATACTTATGTATACTCTTTCGCGATATCGCGTGACACTGTGCCCTTTCTCGCTCCCTTTATCGCGTGCACATAGCGTTTTTCAGTGACCCATGGCTTACGTCGGCTTAATTACGCCGATGTTTGGCGAGCAATTTTGCTAATGTCCTAGCTGGCTTTCAATGTCCTGGTGCGAAGAACGTGCATTTAATGTAAGTTATGATTCTGAGAGCTTGTTAGAAATATTTAATTCTTAATTGGTGACGCGTGGAAAAAGTCAGTGGTACCCTTGCCGCTTTCTCGAATGAATCTGTAAGGACAGAGAGCGAGGAAGAATGTCGACACGTTTGTTTGTTATTTAAGACGTACAAAAAATATGAAAAAACTATCTTTCTATTAGTTATTTACCTTTCGTTAGAACACTAATTAGAACCAGAAGGGAATTGGAATTAGAAGGCAAGGTTTACGGCTCTAAAAGGCTCCGCGTATCGCGTTAATAATGAAATCATCCCGCAATGAATTAACATATTCCGTATTTGATGGCATTCTGTAACGTTAACGAATCCACTCGACGTAAAAACAACGCGAAAGATTTCTCGTCAGCAGTGCAAGAGTGTCATTAGTGCCCAGCTGTTTCCTAGGAAAAGCTCATTCACGGTGTTCGTTGCTCTATTTTCCGAGAGCGTATCACACGTCAAGGAGAATAATATGTAATTACATCCTTCTCGTATTCTCCTTTGTACGGAAGCAAAGCTCCAGAATAATTGGGAAAGTAGGCTAATCCGCGGCTTGATATTTTAGACTACAAAGAAGGCGGGGGAGGGGGGGGGAAAGAGAGAGAGAGACAAAATGAGAAGAGAAGTGAGAGATAAAAGCGACTGTCTCGTTATTTCGGGTGAGTGCAAAGAAAATGCGCTTCCTTTTTTAACAATAATACACGCCGACAAGTTGAAAGCGACGCAAAAGAGGGATATCCGGTAAAGTTGGGCTAGCGGAAGTGGAGCATCCATTATTCCGTCACAATCGAGGCGAGAACAATGCAAACGGGTCGATATGTAATTAGTGAATATTTTACTAACAAATAAAGCAAAGGTGACGCGAGTCTTTGCCGGTGAACAGCACGAGAATATACCGAGTTGGAAGAAAGAAATTATCCGCGGCGCAACCGATTGTTCAAGATACGGAGGTACAATATACAGGGTGTTAATAAATTCATGTTACAACGCTTGAGAGGTGAAAGTACAAATCAAAACAAACATTTTTTTACCAATACACATGGGGGCGGAAACGAACCCCTAACCCGCTGGAACGCGCGATGAGTTCAGGGTAGGCAACCCGTTGTGCACATCTTTTACTACGCTGGCCGCTACGTTTAAGAACAAATGTTGGGATTTTGTTTAAAACAACAACAGTTCAATTAAACAACGGTTTATTAACAGTTCTGTAAACCGATAACACATTTTAGAGCAAGGGCTCGAAATGACGACCACCTTGATCGACGCACAAGTGGCAACGGCGAATCATGTATTCTTTTATCCTTTGCAACTTGCCTGGGGAAGCTCGTATCTCATCAAACGCTTAGATAATTCTTTCGGTGAGCTCTTCAACGGTTTGCTTTCAACGGTTGGCCGTAAACCACGGCTTTTAGGAGTCAACGGGTTGCCTACCCTGAACTCATCGCGCGTCCCAACGGGTTAGGGGTTCGTTTCCGCCCCCATGTGTATTGATAAAAAATGTTCGTTTTGATTTGTACTTTCACCCCTCAAGCGTTGTAACATGAATTTATTAACACCCTGTATAAAGGTGTTGTTCAGGTTACGAGACTAATTAATTCGTAATAAATCATTCTAGCATAAATGCATGATTTAAAGCCGCTCTTAATTATTTATCAGAAAAGCTCGACGGTGGTCGATAATTGACATCAATAATTTATAATATATGCTTAAACGATGTGGTGAAAACTGTAATTGAAGTAAAACGTGAATCATTCGGCGACACACACACACACACACACACAATTGTTAAACCGAAGAAAGATGACTAAGCCGCACAGTGACGAAACCTGTCGTTTTCTCTCGGTGGAGTTACTTGGCGCTAATTATTCTTTTTGACATTAACGTAATAAGAGGACGTAACGCCATTCCTCGCCCTACCTTGTTTTTCTACGGACAACTTACTCGGCGTGCATCGCGTGACGTGAGTCACGAGGAAAAACGTTTCGTCATGCTGTTTCGGCGCGATCTCGTAACCCGCATGGTAGGGTGTACATGTATTGTTAGAGATTACAGGACGACCGATAAGACCCGGATGTCTATCTGGTTATCCAAGTCCTGCGATCTTCACGCTTCGACATGCACACATGCACGACGTCGCGTGTTTTCACCCGACGACTTTTCCGCAATATTTCTCTCTCCTCGAGGGCAAACCCGAGAGGGACGTTTCTCGTCGAGATGGAAACGCTCGGCGTTTAAAGGGAGCAGGTCTCGTGTTTGCGCAAAGGGCGCGATTCATCGGAAATTGCAAGGATTACTCTACGTAATTGGACGTCTCCTCTTTTACGCGAGTTTCTTGCTGAAAAGAGACGACGAGTTTGAGGTTTGCGGCGAGACGGAACCCAGTGAGAAATGATGTCGAATCGACGTCAATTCGACGGTGTCGATGTCGATTCACGAATCGTTTCTCACTGGGAACGATTTGACGGCGTTAAGCTCGAACGTGGCGTTAACTGCTGCGGTTTAGAAACGTAAGGGATTATTAAAAGGCCATTGATTTCGTACCTGTTGCGAGAGGAATCGAAAGTGCTCCGGCAGGCTCCGGGAACTCGTGCCCACTGCCGAGATTGAACTGGTGGTCCTCGTGGTGAGACGCCGTCGTTGCTAGCAGCTCCTCGGCGCTCGCGGCTCCGACTCGCGGCGCGGCGGCATCGATTCGAGCCGCGTTTTCACCAAGTCGCGGGCGAGCGAGCATTCGCACGCTCACTCGTCGCGCGATAACGGCAGCGCGATAACGTATGTTAGGCGCATGCAAACGACACGTGTCTCTCGCTTATCGCGCGCTCTCTCGCGCGCGCGCTCGAGCGCGCGCGCGCCTCTCACTGGGCTCTCGGAGCGGAGTTCACCTCGTATTCCTCCAGGTTCGAGGAGCGCCGTCAATCGTCGCCGTTTACCAACTGTTTACCGGCCACGGAGTCCGTGCGATGCCCGACGGCATTGACTCCGGTCCCTGCGGCATGCGGCGCGGCGGACGAGCGAATCTGACACGGGAGAGTAGCACGCGCGCCCTGCCGCACCGCGCACGTGCCGGCACGTAGTCCGCGCCAAGGGTGGCGCAAACCGGGGCTCGACTACTAACTACCTTCGCTCCGCCGTAACGATAGAGCGGACCCGCCAAAGTTTCGCCGATCGAGAATCCGTAAGCTGTCGGTGGTCGAGACGGCGACGATACTCCCCAAATTTTACCCCGAATTTACGTGCGCGTTTATACGAAACGCAAATTGCCTCCGCGATACAATCGCCTCTTCATTTGCGGGATGAAAGATAATCGACCGCGCGCGCTCCCCTTTCTATTCCCTCCACGCCTCGCGTATTCAAAACGCGCTCGCGAACGTCATTTCGTTAGAATTGTAGGAAAAGCGCCGCGAGATTTGCTCCTTCCGCTTCTCCCGCCGGACGCAACGAAGGTAACGCACCTTTTCTTTTGGCAGAGGCACACGTGTCGCCAGGAATACGTACAGCACTTTCCGAGTCCCCCGAGGAGGATCGCGCTTCAATCTACATGGTCAGTCCTGCCAACCTGCCGGGTGGCTCTATACACAGGATTATCCGAGTCGCGAATACGAATCGTAATTCGTAATTCGTGTGGACGCGCGGGGTAAAGCGGGGTCGGCGCGACTACATGCCGTCCCGGCGAGCCTCCCCGTTACAAACTGGCCGCGACGGAACGGCTGGTGATTATAGATCGTGCTCGGTCATGCGGTTTTACTTGCGAGGACACCGCGAGCCGGGAATACGTGACGTCATACTGATGTTACGTTTAAGCGCGCGCGCGGCGTTTCCGCTTATCGATATGGTTTAAAATATCGATCGTCGACGAGGTCGAAACGCGGCCTCGCAAGTTCGGAACTAAGTTCACGCTGTCGCAGCCTTGATTGGCGACGCCGCTGCGAGGAGAAAAAAAACCGCTTGAGTGTAAACTGATGTCAAATTGACCGACGATGACAGATCGCAAAAAGATCGCCGCACGCTTCTATCCAGCCTTTCTATCGATACAATCGATTTAATGTCACGCAATAGGTGGCATTTTTTCATTAATGAGACGTTCAATTGATTCGATTTACTCGAAAGCAAGTTGGGCACAAGTTTTTTGAAAATAAAAATTATACAAAAGTGCACACAGAAAAATATATACTACCTGCAAGTAAATATTATTTGTTCCAAGTATTTGATAAGTTTATATATCCGCAAATCTATCATAATGTCGTCGTAACCCTGATGGAAAAATTTTGCTGAAAATGTAATGAAATTGATGAAAAGTGAAATGAAAGTTATTGGAAACTTGTTGAAACCATTTCAAAATAAATCATAAGTTTCGTTATGAAATTCAATGAAATACTGTGCAATTAGATGAAAGTTAATTAATATTACTAAAAATTAGTGAAAAAATTTTTGAAATGTATATTATGAAATTTGCAGAATTTCACTGATAATAAATTTTTTAATAAAAAATTGCTGAAA